CTATGATAATGTATAATGTAACTTGTGGTACCTGTTTCGCCTGTCCGTTACAGCCTGGTACCACACGGACTAATGCCATCATCGATCCTTGGTGGGATTCTGTTACACACTTGATCACCGTGTTTGTCCAGGAAGTGATATTACACTCCGAACCATCTATACTCACTTCAGACGGACACGGTTGACTCTGTCTTACACTTTGAAAAAAGAAACACACACGTGATTGCACCTACAGTTACAAAGTAGAACTTCTACAGCTGTGTGAGCCATATGTTTAGTATGTCATGCAAACAAAAGAGAAGTAACGACTAGCACGATAAATAAAACAGATTGCATACTTCAGTTGGGTTCCAATATTTTCCTACGTGTTAGAAGTTATGAATAGTAAAGAGAAAATAAATAAACTTTTGTAAATCCGTTGGCTGACCCGATTGTGCATGCCCATTCCGAATTTCTATTCTCATGAGCACGATTTGACCTAAAATTGCCTTATTTGTCATCAAAATCTTGAATCGATCACTAAAAAGTACATTGTATATTTTAAAAGACTTACCCAAAGTTAGTTCCGCTGATGGTCAATACAGTGCCTCCTGCTGTACCGCCACGTGTTGGGGCAACACTCGTGATACTCGGGGTAATGGTAGAGCTATACGTGAACGCTTCGGTTAGGCTCTTCGTTACAGAAGTCTGGATGATGGTCACATTACAGACAATGTCGACATTTCCTAGAAACATGATTAAACAAGATTGATGAAGACTTTATATTTTGCTTGCTTTATCTAACATTACTATAACACATATTGGGAAATCATGAGTGCCAAATATGAGTTCGAACATATTTTAATTCTCAGAACACTTCAGCTTGTCATTCAATCGACCCCTGCATGATACGAAAAAGCTGGACAACTGCCAGTTAGTCAGAATGCTGTGAAAATGAATACGTGTATGTCTTTGAACAACGACATGAAACAATAGCAATATTAGTTCACAGTTACCTTTTTTCTTGCAGCAGTTACACCTCGTCTAAAAATACATTGATAATCTGCCATTGTGTTTTATGTTTAAGGGTGAGTCAGGTAAGGACATCCGGTACGGAATGCGGACCGGAATTGCGGTACAGAAATAGTTAAAGGCGTAACAGGTTATGGTCCTGGTAGAAAGTGGGAGTAACCAAAGAAAATGCTTCTTCCGTACGGCCAGTACTTGTCAACTGCCCTACGAAGGGCTCAAAGCATCGACTCGTTGGTGAAGGGCTAGTGATAATAGATGTCAGGCACACCAACCACTCGACCACCTTGGCCTCCACAATAATGTGACCGATGGAGTGTTGGCTGTTACCATATGTCAGTTTAGTAAGCTTGCCTTTTACAATGGTCCATTACAAGTCACCACTGACAAATTCTAAAGTGAACATGTCCGTGTATCAATACATTTACATTCTACAACGATTGCTGTCTGTGTACTGTAGAGACACGGAAAAGCAAAACAACTCGTACCTTCTACTTCAGGTGTCAGACAGACGTATTGGGTTGTTGTGGAGGCATTTCCAGTAGGCTTGCAGATTTCGTTACATATCATTGCGATAATATTTTGCTCAAACCCAGTTCCGGTTATGGTCACCGTCTGTAGACCAGCCATACTCCCTATCAAGAGTGACATTCATAAATATACAGTATTATATAACTAGTATTTCAGCACAAATCACATGTTGATTTTGGTCAGGATTAAAGGTTCAAAACGTGAACAAATAGTAATCGTATCGAAACTAAAAAAATGTACAGATAAATGTATTCATGATGTTGTAAATATACAAACTACACAGTAACCAATTACACGTACCAATCTTATGAACGAAGTACCTGCGAAATCATTATATTGATAAGCAGAATTTAACTACTCACATGTAGCCGCCAAGACATTTTAGTGGTACATTATATATGTTTTGCTTCCAAGTGTTCTTTAATATTCACGTTTTCAAATGTACCTATTAAAAGTTGTTGTAAAAATACATGTGTGATGACAAATGTAAAATTGACGTTATAAAAACTATTTGTCTAGCATAACAATACGCTCATCCATCTGAGCTGACTAATCGTGAAGTATTGACGAAGGTTTTTGATTACTTTTAGTTGGTTATCATTTGGTTTGTTTAAATCATGCTAACATATATTTGACATTTACATTGATGAAAAACTTATCGTTTCATTTTAAATGGTTAAATATATATTATTATTATTTTCAATTATTAAGCTGCATTACACATACCTGATGTGGGAGAAATGGCTACCACCGACGTTTCAAATGTAAATCCATCATACATGTTAGATTTTCCAATGCCTGTTACATCAACGAACAAATTATGCGTTCCTGCAGTCTGACTTGCGGCAACGCATTCTATTTTAGTTGGCGATGAGGATGTCACATTGCAAGGCGTGTTTTCAATGAAGACATGATTCATTTCATTCTGAGACTCAAAATTGGTGCCGGTAATTGTTATGGTTGTACCACGAGTTCCGGAAGTAGGTGATATAGAACCTATGCTAGGTGTTATGCTCATGTTGTAGGAGAATATTTGCTGGGGGTAGGCTTTCTGAAAATAAACATATGTAAGTGAAATCCTTTTTTCAATCACATATTGTGAAATAAGTGTAATTTGAACAAATTTTAAATCACCATAATATAGAAAATATCATTAAATATATATTAATGAGTACTAAGTCTATTGTGAAGAGTGTACACCGTAAACGAAACATAATGTTGTTGCCAGGCGACAATCGATGTCAGTTAAGTTATTACCGTTATCATACATGTATTGACTGTTATCGAATCATTGCGTAATTACCAACGTAATCAACCAATAAAATTATCATATACAGTTTGTGAGAGGAATACGGGTCCAATCCTGATCGATTAAACAGGTCTAAATGTTAACAGTAGTGACATTTCACCTTAAAACACTGCATATTTATTCCCTAGGTCAGTTTCAGATCGTCGAAGCCATCACATACGTGGTATTATAACAATTGTCATTTTTTATGTTATTAATGAAAATAATATTATAACATGAAAGATCGCGCATATATATTACAAATGAGTGCTTGGACAAATGCCTATCATCGATTTTATAAATAAACGTTGTTTAGGGATTTCCGTATAAAAACGTCATTTTATATAACTGGAGACCAGTAACACCCATGCACTTGTTAGTACCAGACGCTTACAACTTTCCCGACACTCTTATTAGATGGACCATAGGATATTACTTACTTATGAACATATGGCGTAAATTTGCTTGCATTCTCCTGCAAGGAGTCAATAAATCGCGTTTAAATTGTCGACAAACTTGTTGCGACAAGTCGACGTCGTTTGTGGATACGTCATGGTACCTCGCGGAGTCGAAATATATTAATAATTATGGGCGTCATCTTCAGTTATTTATATGGTGTTAGCTTGATAGCTTGCATGGAAAGATGCCTTACCACAATTGTTTTTTGCAATAAGCTTGTAACGACCTAAACTAAGTGATGAACAGGAATGGACGTTTAAGAGTTACTATTGTCCATGAAAACTTTGACTTATATGGCATATAGTATACTGAAAAATATATACTTACCGAATTTGACTTAACGACTACCGCAACAGAAGCTTCGACGTTACTTGGGGTAGAACATACAACTTTGGAAAGGTCGACAAAAGACACTGCACATAATTTACTATTCAGTTTTACTGTCGTGTCCGAAAGAAACCCGTTTCCGCTGACAGTTAATGATGTACCTCCGTGTACACTTCCAAGGTCGGGCGAGATGTTAGATATCGTTGGTACACTGGTCACTAAAAGATTCCCAGTCGCAATGCCCTTTCCAATAATGTGAACTTCAATATTATTATTTCCAACTGGAAGATTCTCAATGGAGCACTGAATTTCTGTGTCGATCGGTGCTGACGTCAGGTTACATGCATAGCTTTGAGCAAGGGCTTTACTAGACAGTGACACCGTTACTGAGCTTCTCGTCGTCCCGAACATTGTTCCGTTAATTGTCAGGGTTGTCGTCTCGCCTGTTGCTGATTGTGGTGTAACACCCGTTATTGTAGGCGTCGCGTTCTCGGTGTATGTAAAGTTACAGGAGGATTCACAAATACTAGGCACCCTCACATTTCCTTGAGCAATCTTTACAAGCACGTTCACGTCTTTAGCTATTGACGATGGCGGGGATATGCAGGTGATAGACGTATACGTACAGTTTTTAACCACACATTGGTATCCCCCAAATGTAACGTCTATATTTTCTGCACACTTGCTTCCTTCTATAAATCCCGTCCCAGAGATCACCACCCATGTACCGCCCCCCAATGAACCTGTCGTGGGCGCAATTGAAAGTACTAATGGTAGCAAAGCAAACTTCAAGTCAGTTTTTATATTAGCAAAACCCATATTGTTAACACGAAACTGAATCATCCCCGGGCGCCCTATTTCCGGGCTATTTGATATGTCGATCCTGCAAGTAGCATTTGATTTGAAACTTGACGTAGCTGAACATGAGTAATCGCCAAATGTGATTTCATTCCGACAGTTAATCGTTGAAAACCCTACTCCAGTCACCACGATGTCTGAATTTGTTGTCCCGTTATCTACATCCACCGTCTCAACAGAAGGAGTCTTACATGACCAAAATGCAAAGTAGAAATGCGATGGGTCCGACACGGCGGGATATTTGTCTTTACAGTCAGCGATACTGGCGGTAGAGGTCTGACACTGACTGGAATCCGATGGGTCTTCAACTCCTGGAATGTAAATATTATATATTATAAATAAATGAATAAAAATGTATCTTAATTTTAAGTGTGAGACAGCTGGACAAAATGAAATAATCTATAAAAATAAACGATGTAAATTATGAATGGAACCCATGTCTATTATAAGTCTGTTATGTAGCATAAAATTTACTTTTGATATTTTCTTTTAATAACTGTAATAGGTGTATCTGAAACACAATCATAGAAAATAAACTTCAAGGAGCTAAAACGACATGTATATCGATTCGATATATAGTAGCGGAAGACACTGTATTTCATACTCAAACATTTAAAAACAGTTTTAACTGTAAGAAGGATCGCTATGACCTTAAATATCGACCAAGGCTACACGAACAGATAATTTATGCTTTCATGCCTTGTATTTCTTGAGAAATCGTTAACAGTTTTTGTCACATATGTTTGTGTGACTCTTATGATCTTGAATGCGGCTTAATTTCATTCTTTAGAACTTGTTTATTATTTTTACTAAATTAAAAATTTCGATTACTACACAATAATCTAATCTTGCTTGTAACCAGCATTTTTAATGACTTAAACATTTATGTTATCAGCCTATAACGTAAAACAATGACGTCGCCGTTT